TGCAGGTTTTTGCCTTTAGGGTGTCCTGGTTTTAGAGAATCAGGATAATACTAGTAAGGAACTCTAATTAGCATTTCTTGCTATAAAGTAAACAGTTACTATAGTTGCAGAATGAAGCACAATGACTAAATGACAATATAACTAGTTCTTTAAACTAAATTAACTAACTCCTGTCTATGTTTTCTTCAATCATCTGTAGCAGGAAATTTAGATAGACCATATTTCTACTCAACATATGATGGACAACACAATTTTTACCAGCAAAACAATGCAATAGATTTTCTTCCAATGTCAATCCTACTCATATGAGGCTATGCTAGTAAAGAATCAAATGTTCCTTTGAGGACGACAAAGTCAACATTTTATTTAGAAGTATTTTTCTGAGAGGTCCTTGGTGCTCTCTGAACTTGGTTGTTTTCTTACAGTCATTTCATTACCCAGACTAAGTAACATCAGTTTGGGTAATGAAACATTCGCAAGAAAACAACCGAAGCTCAGAGAGCACCATGGACCCCTCATTTCAACCCTGAGCTACGAATAGTCTCCTTTATAAGTATTTTTCTCTCCAGTTTTTATTTGGTCGTTGTTTCTTCTTTGACTCAATTTTTTTGACTACATCTTTGATTATATGCCACTGCTAAATTTTATATAATAATTTTCAAGGATGATATTCGTTGAGGCAGTCTTTTTATCATTCTTCCTGTTTATGCCAATACCCTGAATACGTAATACACACAGCATTTTATAAGTAGCAGCCCGTTATTTTTTTCGTAATTATAGTGAGAAAAGCTTTCCTTTATTCCATAAAGGACAGGTGAAGTCTTTCTTAGACTGATCTAGTGCCGTGGTGGCGAAGCTATGGCACGTGTGCCACCGGTGGCACCAGTGGTGGGATTCAGCCAGTTTGCACCACTTCGGGAGAACCAGTTGTTAACTTTCTGAACAGTTTGGCAAACTGGCTGTTGGAAGAAATCATTAGGGCAGAGAACCGGTTGTTAAGTTACTTGAATCCCACCACTGGGTGGTACGCAGAGACCTCTCTGCAGGAACGCCAGGTGCCGCCCCAGCCCAGCTTCGCCGCACATGCATGCACGCCTCCCGCTGGCCAGCTGGTTTTCGGGTCTTTGCCACACATGTGCAGGGGGAGCGCTCACATTGCATTTTGGTGTTTCGTGTTCACCTCTAACCTCGCACCCTGTTTTGGGCCTGGAAGGCCTCCTGCACTAACTTGGATGGGGCACAGGCAGTGGTGGGATTCAAATAATTTAACAACTGATTCTCTGCCTAATGATTTCTTCCAACAACCAGTTCACCAAACTGCTCAGAAAATTAACAACCGGTTCTCCCGAAGTGGTGCGAACTGGCTGAATCCTACCACTGGGCACGGGGGAGCCGTGCGAGCCACCATGCACCCCATTTTGGGCCTGGAAAGCATCCTGCACCAACCTGGAAGCCAAAATGAGGTGTGAGGGGCTGGGGCGTATGTGCAGGGGGTGGGGCACATACACGGGAGTGCTCACATTGCATTTTGGGGGTTTGGGCAGGCACACATACATTTGCGTGCATGTGCTTTGGACACTTGGCACCAAAAAGGTTAACCATCCCTGATCTAGTGGCTTAGAATATACTCCCATTCTTAAGAAAGGATTTTTAAAAATGGCATTTAGAAGTGTAGGTAGAAAACTATCGAGCCAAAATGCAAAGGTTTGCTTAATGATCTGCTTAGATGAAGCATGTCATTAATCTTTGAGTTCTTCCTTCCCCATAGTTATTCTATACTCTGAGCAGGTGTAACTTCAAATTTAAACTTATTTAAATCACAGACGAGCAAGCTGCAATCCAAGTGTCACATTAGGTTCTCCAACTTCATTTTTTGTGAATCCCTGAACTACCCTTCAAATTACATCACAACCAGTTTGGTATAATGGTTAAGATACTGACCTAGAAACCAGGGGACTGTGAGTTCTAGTCCCTCCTTAGACATGAAAGCGAACTGGGTAACATTGAGCTAGTCACTGACTTTCAGTCCAACTCACCTCACCTCAAGGGGAAAATAGGAGGAGGAAGGACTATGAGGTATGTTCTCCATCTTGAGTTATTTATAAAAAAAATAAAGATGGGATAATTAATTCAGTAAAATCCAAGCAATTCCTCATCAATGAAAACCAAGCTTTTCAGATCCGTTGCTGAAGTCATTGGGTAATTCTGCATGGCAGTCTAAGCTGTTTGTCTTCCATGCTGCTCCAGCTGTTCTTGCATCTGTCCCTGGTCCTGATTATAGTGATTTTACAGTGATGTGTGCTTGGTATTCAATCTAGGCCAGGGCTGTCAAACCCCCCGCCTGTGGGCTGGATGTATAGCGCACTGGCCACATCCACACCCGGTTTAGTGAAGGGGAAAAAAGTCCCAATACGTCATGTGATGCTGTCGTGACGATGTGAGTTTGACACACCTGATCTAGGCTATAACCAGGGGTGAAATCCAGCAGGTTCTGGAGAACCAGTAGCGGAAATTTTGAGTAGTTCAGAGAACCAGCAAATACCACCTCTGGCTGACCCCAGAGTGGGGTGGGAATGGAGATTTTGCAATATCCTTCCCCTGCCATGCCCACCAAGTCTTCCCTAGAAGCTCTCCTTCCCCTAGAATGGGGTGAGAATGGAGATTTTGCAGTATCCTTTCCCTGCCACGCCCACCAAGCCACACCCACAGAATCGGTAGTAAAAAAAATTGGATTTCACTACTGGCTATCACCATCACTGCTTTTGACTGATCATTCAACTGAATGTTGTAGGGAAGGCAAACCACACTGGCTGCACCCCACCCCAATCACATTTACCATCTCCTGCCTATTCCTTTTAGAGGTAGTTTCCTTTCTTTTCCCAGAAGTTTGCACAGCTGGATACCTTCATACCCCTTTCTCACATTCTCTCACTTGACACTAATCCTGGCTCTGCACCATTATGCTTCATTGTACCCAACTACATTGATGTTGTAGTGATTAAAATAAAGGGAACGTGGTCCCTCACTCATTTGTTCTACTATGGTCTGTAAAACATTGCGGAAGCAAGGAAGTGATGGTTGACTTCATAAAATGTGAATTTTGTAACTTCATTCTTATGTCTGTATGCTGACACTTAGGTTATTAAGATTCAGGGGTGAAATCCAGCAGGTTCTGACAGGTTCTGGAGAACCGGTAGTGGAAATTTTGTGTAGTTCAGAGAACTGGCAAATACCACCTCTGGCTGGCCCCAGGAGTGGGGTGGGAATGGAGTTTTTTGCAATATCCTTCCCCCAAGAGTGGGGTGGGAATGGGGATTTTGCAGTATCCTTTCCCTGCCACCCCACCAAGCCACGCCCACCTACCACACCACGCACACCAAGCCATGCCCACAGAACCGGTAGTTTAAAAAAATTGGATTTCACCACTGGGTAAGCCATACCAGTGATGGAACATGAATAAAATATGGATCTGATCACTGTGCCATTTTTTTGTCTCCTTTGCTTTCAGAAGAGTAAAACAAAAAACCTGAAGTACAGCCACATGATTGCATTCCCAAAAGAAATCATCACACCATCATGATTATGGGAATACAGTGAAATTGGTTTTTCTTCTTCTGCCTTAAAATAATGTGCATACATAAATGTGAATGTGTGAATTGGCTGGCCGTTTCTTTCCTACAAATTATATTTTATTTTCCAAAGACATAAAACAAAGATGTTACTTTGACATGCATTAGGGCCTATGCCACCTTAGATACTGATGTTAGGTTTAGGGCAACTTCTGGGTTGTTATTTTGGTGAAAGTTGGATTGGGGACTTTATTTTTTTGGGTGGGGGGAGGTCCAGCCTTTTGTGCTGAAAAGTATTTAACCTCCAATCCTCTAAGAATCAGGAGCCTGGATAGCTCAGCAGACTAATGCATTGTAATTTAACTCCAGCTGTCTGCAATTAGTAAGTTCGAATCTTGCCAGGCTCAAGGTTGACTCAGCCTTCCATCCTTTCTAAGGTAGGTGAAATGAGGACCCAGTTTGTGGGGGCAATAAGCTGACTTTGTATAAATATACAAAAGTATGAAGGCTACTGCTTAACGCATTGTAAGTTGCCCTGAGTCTCCAGAGAAGGGCGGCATATAAATCAAATTGTTTTTTTAAAAAAAAGAATGATTGTGTGAAGAGCAATTACCCCAGTTCAGCAGAAGAAAATGACTTCCCCAATGTGGAGTAAGCCATAGTTCTACCATAAACATTCTGTCTTTCAAGACTAAACTAAATTATCTTGGAAATTAGAAGCAATGCATGACCACCACCCCCCCTGCCCAGTTCTCAGTTTTTAGACTAGTTTACCTTAGTTTATTATCATTGCACCTCGTACAAAGAAATTAAATGCCATCTTCAGTGTACATTATAAAAATAACTGCAATTGTGTAGAATCCCTTGCATTCTATACAATTGAATTGAAAACCCCTGATATTGCATTAATATTGCACTATACAGTAGATGAGATCTACTGTATAAATCTTTAAGAATGTTTTGAACTTTCTTAAAGCAGCGGGAGCCATAAAGCTCTTCCAAGGAGGGCAGAGGGCAACCAATGATCCTCTGGGCAATGATGCTAACCCTCTGGAGTGCTCTCCTATCTGCCACTATGCAATTGGCAAACCATACACAGGTGCAGTAAGTTAAAAAACTGTATATAGTGCAGCGGTAGAAGGTCACCAGCAATTTTTCATTCAGTTGTTGTTTCCTGAGAAGTCTCAGGTAGTATAATCTCTGCTGGGCCCTTTTAACCAGTATTGCAATGTGATGCCTCTTTTATGATAACACCCAGAAACTTAAAACCATTTGCCACTAGACTAGACAGTGATTGTAATACTTTTGTGGATTAGAATGGCTTTTTTTTTTCAGTAGCTGATTTATGTATGCTAAAACATGCTAATAGTTTGTTTTTCCACTAAAGTTGAAGGAAAAACTAAAATCTGTTTAATTTATTGTACTTTTCAGACGCTGTTGGATTACCATGAAGCTCTGGATAATCACATTAAGTTTAATGGGGGTTGCTTGTGATGTGCTGTATTCTGAAGTAGCATCATCTTCAATTGTTGGCTCTTGCGAAGACTTGTGTTTTTGTGAAGAAAAAGACAGCATCTTGATTATAAGCTGTGAAGAAAGAGGCATCAAGGAGATATCTCAAGTACATGTTCCACCATCCCGGCCTTTCCAACTTAGTCTTTTAAACAATAGTTTGACTATTTTACAGGTCAACGATTTTGCCAGCTTTATCAATGCGATCACATTGCACCTTGGATTTAACAACATTGTAGACATTGAACCAGGGGCATTTAATGGGCTAAGTCTCCTTAAACAACTCCATATCAACCACAATTATTTAGAAATACTTAAGGAAGACACCTTCCATGGACTAGAAAACCTGGAATTCCTTCAAGCAGACAACAATTTCATCACAATAATTGAATCAAGTGCCTTCAGTAAGCTCAACAGGCTTAAGGTGCTTATTTTAAATGACAATGCCATTGAATTCCTTCCTCCCAATGTATTTCGCTTTGTTCCATTAACTCACCTGGATCTTCGAGGGAACCAACTACAAACATTACCTTATGTCGGTTTTTTAGAACACATTGGCCGAATCCTAGACCTTCAGCTAGAAGATAACAAATGGATCTGTAATTGTGACCTACTGGAGTTAAAGAGCTGGTTAGAAAATATGCCTCCTCAGTCTATAATAGGGGATGTTGTATGCCACAACCCTCCCATTCTGAAAGGTAGCATTTTAAGCAGATTAAAAACAGAATCACTCTGTCCAACTCCACCCCCAAACGACCTTGATTCTCCATCAGGGTCATTGCCTTTGGTGATTACAACATCAATAAGTGATAGTCATTCCTCAACCAAGGTGATACCTATTTTTAAAACTCCCACCAAGGAATCCAGTTTAACCCCTGGAGTTACAAAACCAGCTACTCTTCTTCCTGGCGTATTTTGTCCTATCCCTTGTCAGTGCACCAGCAATATCCTTTCAGGGATTTTGATGCAATGTCAGGAACAAAACATTGAAAGCTTGTCAGATTTAGGTTCTCCTCCTCCCAATCCTAAAAAGTTGATTCTCGCCGGAAATATAATCCAGACATTACTGAAATCAGATCTTGTGGGTTATCACAGCCTAGAGATGCTTCATTTGGGAAACAATCGTATTGAGATGTTAGAAGCAGGATCCTTTATAAATCTCACCGAATTGCAAAAATTGTATCTCAATGGCAACCACCTCACTAAACTAAGCCGTAATTTGTTTTTAGGCCTGCAGCGCCTTGAGTATTTGTACCTTGAATATAATGCCATCAAGGAGATTTTACCTGGTACTTTTAGTCCAATGCCAAAACTTAAAGTCCTATACCTAAATAACAACCTCCTCCAAACTTTACCATCTCATATCTTTTCTGGAGTTCCACTAGCCAGGCTGAATTTGAAAACCAACCAGTTTTCCCATTTGCCCATAAAAAATGTCTTAGATGATCTAGATCTACTAGTACAAATTGAATTAGAAGACAACCCCTGGGATTGCACTTGTGATTCGGTCAGGCTACAACAATGGATACAAAAACTAAATAGGAATACAATGATGGGAGAAATCCTCTGTAACTCTCCAAGACATCTTGCTAAAAAGGAACTGAAATCTCTGACCAGTGATATGTTATGTCCCACCTTAATGAACAGTCCAGCTCTCCCAACTCATCCTAGCTTCCTCATCATCACAACATCACCAACGACCACCAGTACAGCGGACACTATTCTGAGATCCCTCACCGACGTTATCCCTCTCTCTGTTTTAATTCTGGGGCTCTTGATTGTGTTTATAACAATGATTTTTTGTGCAGCTGGCATTGTTGTTCTCGTTCTACATCGACGGAAGCGGCACAAAAAGAAACAAACGGAAGAACAAGTGCGGGACAACAATCCAGTTCAGCTTCAATACAGCATGTATGGTCATAAAACAACACACCATACTACCGAACGTCCAGCCTCAACTTTGTATGAACAACGCATGATCAGCCCCATGGTTCAAGTTTATCAAAGCCCATCTTTCAACTCCAAATTTGCAGATCATCAAGATGGAAGGAATGATAAGGAGGGGAATGATTCCAAACACCTTCGGCGAAGTCTCTTAGAAAGGGAGCACTCCTCCCCTCTCACTGGTGGTCCAAACGTCAAGTACAAAACTACAGACCAATCGGCTGATTTTTTGTCCTTCCAGGACACAAGCTCATTGTATAGGAACATTCTTGAGAAGGAGCGAGAACTCCAACAATTGGGGATAACGGAATACCTTCGGAAAAGCATTGCTCAGCTACATCCTGAGATGGAAGTACATTATCCAAGAGCTCATGAAGAACTAAAGCTGATGGAGACACTTATGCTCTCGCGGCCGAGAAAAGTTTTACTAGAACAGACTAAAAATGAATATTTTGAGCTCAAGGCCAACCTGCATGCTGAACCTGACTACTTGGAGGTTTTGGAGCAGCACACATGAAAGGAAATGTCACCTTTGAGAAGGCTTTGAATCAGAAACTCTTAGGTTTGTCTTACATTTGAGAACTTTGTAAATAAAAGTGCCTTATAATAATGTGTCACCAATCAGAACTTTTAAGCACAGCAGTAATCTGAGTGAAAAGAAACTCTCAGGGATAACTGTGTGAAGCCATGGGAAAGTTTTCAGGCTATGTATATCTTACCCCCCATTTTAAATGTGAACTTTGTACAACTGGATTCTGAGAAGAAATTCAGAATTTGCTTGGCCATATTCCTCTAGGTGTGTATTGCAGTCCCTAATGTTTCTTTCTTTTTTTTTAATTGTTGGTTTTGCTAAACAGACTTTTAAAGCATTTGTTTCTTCGGTTCCCTTCTTATTTTTCCCATGTAGGCAATATTTAATTAAAAACCTACAAGGATCTACTTAGCCAGCTGCTAGAAAGTAGGGAGCATTAGTTATGGATGAGTCCATATATATGAACAAATTCTACATGGCAGTAGTACATAATAATTATAAAGGGAATTATACGTTTTTGTTTCAAAAGGGGAAAAAAATCATTTGTAAGCTTCCAAGGACTGCAGTATTTAGGTATCTTTAATTTGGAATGTTGTTTATCCAAAAAAAAAAGAAGGAGAGGTTTGAATGGGAAAGTGGTATATTATGCAGGAATTTAAAAGATATAATGGAAACCTTTTGTTACTTTCCCTCGATGGCATTTTTAATCACATTTTGGGACAATCTTCAGTATAATGCTGCTATATAGACTCCTGTGCGACATTGGATTGACACTTGTACTTGGGAAGTTTGAAACGCTACTGAGAATTTAATGTAAATATATTAGTATATTGATGCACCCAATTTTTATTTTATTTTTTACTGTATTTATATGATTGGCTCCCAGTGGTAATTTTTGATAACATCACTTTGCTGTGGCCAGTAAATTTCAGACTGCAAATTTCAGACAAGAAATAAGCCATCAGAACTGGTTTCTGGCTGTGAATACTCTGTCTTTGTCATAAGGACATGGCAAAAGAGCATTTCTCAGCCGTCATCCCCACCCCCACCCCACCCCAAAAAGTCTGGTTTAAACATGGTAGGTGAGTAAAAGTCACAAACCTAGGAAGTTGCATTGAGATTAATTATTGCAATCTTATGGATACATGCTTAGATATGTGCTTTTGCAACATTTGTGTGGGTATGCTAATGTTGCACACATAGATGTCAGCGGCTAACCATGTAAAGGTTAGCCAGCCCTGCAGGACTCCACAGCTTGGTGTGTATAGAATTGTGGTCAAGTTTGAATACAATGATGTTCTTTGTCATACTTGATCTCAAGTGTAAACACAGCTCACATTTAATGTGGCCTAATCTGCAATCCTAACTTTGCTTCTGAGCAGAAGAAAATCGTTCGATCCAATTCTGACCATTTCGCAAGTCTGTCTCTGTGTTTTTAAACACAGATTTGCTGCACTCACAATTTAGATTTGTGTGCACGTGTGTGTGTATGCGTGTGTGTGTGTGTGAGAGAGAGAGAGAGAGAGAGAACAATAAAGTGCAAGCAGCACAGCAAATCGGTAGAGATCAGTGGAACGTAGCACTAAAATAATGTTTAGAATTAAGGAAACAAGAAGCAGGACAAATTTATTTTACTATAAAGTTTAGTTAGAATTATTTGTATTATTTATTCTGTACAATTTGTATCTTTTAAGTTTGAAATTACAATTATTATTCTTGGGTGCCTTTCAAGCAAATCAAAGAACTTAATCATGATAAATAAAACTGACAATAAAGGGATCCTTTTTTTAAAAAAAAAAAAACCCGCTTCTTTGTATTAAGACTCCCTTTTTAATTTTTTTTCTCTCTCTCTCTTCCTTTTTAAAGTGAGCTCTGCATGCATGAGTTCCGATCCATTCTGAAATCAAATTGGAGTCTTCTGTCCGTTGCCATGCATACAGAAGTGTCTTGTTCTGGGAGCAAGACGGCAGTTAAATGCCAGTGTATGATTGAAAAAGTGCCAAAATGGTAATCTGACCTGCATTTCCCCTCCTGATTAAGTTACTCTTTTTGTAAACCTGCCACCCTTTGATAAATATCTCCTTACGCGCTTCTGGGCTGAAAAATCAGAAAGATCCTGGTAGCATCTTCTCTTAAAGATCCCCATAATTACTAGTTGGGAAATGTCTACATAAGTTATGACAGTCAGACTTATGAATGGCATCTACCATAAATAAATAATTTTAATAGCGTCCCTACTGATTGCTTACATAGAAACTTTGGCTTCGATGTAAAGTATTGATTTGTGTAGAGAAAGTTCATCCCTGGGAAGTAAAGAAGAAAGACATTAACATCAAATATTTCATTTATTTATCTGATGCAGTACTACAGAAAGCAAACTATGGTATATCTTCATATATGCTTGACTACTTATTTATGTTTGCACTGGATTTTTGTTAATATATTCCAAATCAATATTCTCCTACTGATTCCTCCAAGTATGTTGGACAATAACTCTCAGAATTATATGTGAGCAAAAGTTGGTCAAAGTATTAGACTTCAAACAATGGATACGGACACATGAAACAGTTTAGGAATTATCCCTTTATGGAGATGAAGCATAATGCTCTGAAGCTATGCTGATCCTCGTAACATGCTGAAGTTAGAGGATTGTGTACTTTATTTAGAATCTTAATAGATTGAATGTATACAGAGATTATATCTCTATCTCCATTTCTACCTGAATGAAGTATCAGCATCTGGGCTGGGTTCTATATAAAAGGTAAAGGTTTTCCTGTGAGTCATATCTAACTCATCTCTGTTTCTTGGCTAAGGGAGCCAGTTTTGTCTGAAGACAATTTCCATGGCAATGTGGCTAGCATGGCTGTATGCCAAAGATGCACAGAATGCTGTTACCTTCCCACCAAAGTGGTACCTATTAATCTACTTGCATTTGCATGCTTTCAAACTGCTAGGTGGGCAGGAGCTAGAGCAAGAGGCGATCATGCGCAAAGCACACGCACAAAGAGAACTGGTAGTAAAGCCAGTTAGAACCCATCCCTGTTTGAGTTTAATCACCAAGAATCATTACCCATTAGTATCCCAAAACTGGTGGGCTCTCGTGACTTTGACAGTTAAAAATATTGGATAACTCTGGCTAAATCAGACCATGAAATTGAATGAGACAACCAGAGACGTGAAATGCTTAGATCAAGAGAAATAAGCTAAAAGTCACTGACCAGCTCTGCAAAATAGACAAGATAATTTGTGTCAAATTTTCAAACGGACCAATCTTTTGTTTGCAGTAGGAAGAGATACCCGAAAATGTTTTCAAATTTTAAAGCTTTTTTTTTTTTTTTTACATTTTTGATTACTCTGTAGATGAAAAGACATTTTCTGTAGGTTTCATGAGGTAAAAATGAGCATAATAAGAAAAAAGTTGGGTACCTGAATAAGAATAGTAATAGACTGCGTGTTGTTAAAAATAAGAAAGATAGAAAATAAGTGTCATGTTGTCTTTCTGAATTACAGCATATTGCAGAAATTAGACATAATAGATTTATGGCCGAAAGGGACCAGATTTACACGGGTTCAGGCAAGTGTGAAATGAAAAGAGATAGATGCAAGTAGCTCTTTGCAATAATAAGAAAAGAATAAGTTATGAGACTTTCCCCCCTGAATTTTAAGGCTCACATAAGTATGAGAACCATCCACATTCCTATTTTGTCTTTTCCTTAAACCCATTTTCTTTCTTTCTTTTTTTTTAAAAAAACAACCTTCAGTCAGGTTACACTATGAAACAAAAAAAAAAGTATTCTGCATGGAGAAGTTTTTGTCTAGTAACAACCTTCTCATTCTTCTGTTCATTAATAGAATTAGTTGATGAGAAGAATACAACTCCTCAGAAGCTATTGCAACTCTAATTTTAGTGATAAAATTCTTGCCCGGTTCTATTTCCTCTAGCAGATTCAATGAAACTCTAATCTCGCTGTCTCTCTCTCCCCCTCCCTCCCTCTCTCTCCCTCTCCCTCTGTCTTTCCCCCCTCTGTCTTTCCCCCCTCTCTCTCCCTCTTTCTCCCCCTCTCTCTCATACAAATTCCATATGACTTTCAAGAATAATCAATACACCCTAATTTAATTCATATTCTCAAATTCATTAGTATTAATCTTGATGAACAAAATAATTTAGATAGTGATCTTCTGGGAAAAAGTACAGACAAGGTAGTCTGGAATTCTAAAAAAGAAAAAAAACTTAATTTAATCATCTCCCTTATCATATTTCTTTTATTATTTTCTCTGTTGACACCATATATCTCTACAAGGTTTGCACCCCTGTTGTGATTATTCTTATAATTAAAGGTGAAGGAACTATATTCAAATCCAGGGGAAGTGTGACATTACTGTATAATAGAATAACCACTATGTTCTCTAGATTAGGAATAGCATTAATTTACCTTCCTCTTTTTTTTTTTTTTTTGGTCCTGAATTGTGCGCCTTATTATGTGGCTGAAATTTGTAAAGCTACAGATTGGTGCATCAACAAGTCATAAATATATTTTGTTGAACCTTTTTGTGATGTCACTCTGTCATTGGCCACAAAAAGGCTGTCCTTGTTATGTCCCAAGGGTACTTTTTTAAGAGGCAGATGGACTTTCTGGTTTTTCTTTGAAGACGCTTCGCTTCTCATCCAAGAAGCTTCTTCAGTTCTGACTGGATGGTGGGGAATGGAAGGGTTTATACTCCTTGGAGACAACTGGTCATTTGCATTCTTTTACAGCATCGTCGATGCCACTTGGAGGTTTGTCTGTGTCCTCAGAGTCACCTGAGTAGTCCAAGAAGGCTCCATACCCATTTGCACTATGCAGGTGACTCTGAGGACACAGATAAACCTCCAAGTAACCTTTATGACTCCCTAAAAGAATGCAAATGACTAGTTGTCTGTAAGGAATATAAATCCTTCCATTCTCTACCATCCAGTCAGAGCCGAAGAAGCTTCTTGGATAAAAAGCGAAACGTCTTCAAAGAAAAACCAGAAAGTCCAGTTGCCTCTTGAAAAAACACCTTTGAGACAGCCATGACCTGGATGACTGAGAATCACCATAGACATCTGTCCTTGTTATGTTATTTCAATCACTTTAAAAAGCTAAATATATTGGATGATCTGAAATAGAATGGAAAAGAGTGATCTTTACATTTCTCACTCTGTAGCATCTCTGAAACAGCTCCAAATTTTCTGAATCAGGAATTGTACTCGAGATTGTATTGTATATAGAGAAGTTGATGGCCTCATACTTACAAGAAGAGCATTCAGCAAATATATGTGTACCACAAGTATAAAGAGAAATTTAATTTGTACTCTAGTCCAAACATACCAAATACACACTTCACAAATTAAAATGGAAGCTAGTCTTCATTTTTTCTAATTTTTTAATGCAGGTCTCAATTTAAAACAATGGGCACAAAAAAAAAAATCCCACATATTGTTGGGAAAAGTGTGTTTTGCTGAACCAGAAAAAGTGAGACCCTATTCTAAGCCTAACCTCAGTCATAGAATCTCAATGGGTGACTTTGGACCAGTAACTATTTCAGTAGAACCTACTTCAAAGATGTGGGGAAAATTGGAAGGTGGAATGATATATACGCCACCCTGAGTTCCTGAAAAAGGTAGACTATAAAACTAATAGATTAATTAATTAAAATGATATGCCAGAACTTCTTTGCATAAACGTCTTCAGCAGCACCTGCAAACTGAGACTTGATCACTTGACCCAATATCTTAAATTAGAAATATGCCAAATTCTCCCACCCTTAATTACAGTACATAAAAGGAAAGAAAGTCATATAAAGCAAAAGTT